AGGTCCCTTCCGACCCTTAATCTATGAATCTATGAAAACCTTTTTTCATTTGCAGACCTCTAAAAATTTGAAGTGAAGATGCGGGTCCCTTTGAAAAGTAAGTGTAGGTATTCACATACCTTTGATCAGAGTCATCTTTTGCAGAGCCCTTTGATATAGTCTACAGACCATAGGTTGAAAACCAATGTGTTAGACAATGGATTTGTATAGGATGGTTTGGATGATTCAGCCTTGTGCAGGGGGCAGGGTTAGATGACCTTCAGAGGTCCTTTCCAACCCTACTTCTCAAGGACTCTAGGACTGGTTACTTTGCTCCACTGGGCGTGCCACATAATGGTTTGGAAAGGGTCAGGTGACATTTGAGTGCTACTGCCTGACAACACTGTAAACCTTCTCTAGCTAACAGAGCAGAGTGGGACTGTTTATGGACAGCAACTCTCACCGCCTGTTTGTCAGCATGGAGTAGATGTCTTGCACCAGAATCTCTGCAGCTCCCGGTTTACAGTGCATCGTCCCATTAATGAGCTCCTGAACAGGGTTCAGCTTTCTTTTTAGGAAGAACTTTGTCACACAAGAAGAGAGGGACACAGCTTAGGCTGTGCAAGGGAAGTGCCCCATGTGGGACACAGCGCATGCAGCACCCTTGATCCCAAGTCACCTCCGCCGTACGTGAACATACGCATAAAAACAACTGGCTCCAGATAGTGCAGGTGATCGGCAAGCTGGGGAAAGTCACCTGTCCCACACCCACCCCTGCTCTCGCACAGACTGCCCTCTTCCCCCATCCCCGCCAGCTCTCATCAAAGCTCTGTCCCCAGGACCCCGGCCTCCCCACACCAGACCCTCCTCCCTCGCCTTGCCCATCCCCTCTGTACCAGGCCCTGCTTCCTCACCATGACTCCCACCCCCTACTTTGGGCTACACCTGCTCACCTTTCCTTGCCCTCCAAAGGCTGGGCCCCACCTCCCCACCTTGCCCTGCCTGCCCCTTCCCCATGTCCCGCCCACATATCCGGCCTTGCACCTCCACCCTGCCCCACCTCCCAACGCCAGGCTCCGCCCCCGCACCTGACCCCGCCCTTGTCTGGCCCCGCCCCCACACCAGGCCCCACCCGCAGCCCCTCATCAGACCCCGGCACCTGCTGCAGGCGGGCCCAGTTGCAGAGCTTGGTGTGCAGGGAGGTGCCGTTTTGGAAGGCGCCGAGGCGCAGGTCTCCCGGGAAATACCACGAGAAGATCTCCGCCACCAGGACGCCGTTAGCGAAGTCCCGACCGAAGCGGCGGGGGAAGAAGCTGAGGTCGAGGCTCTGCAGCCAGCGCAGTACGGCGCGGGGCAGCCCAGTCCGCCGCGGCAGCGCCGAGTAGCGCAGGCCGCTGCCGTCGCCCCCCGCGCGACGCCCTGTCGCCATGGCAATCAGTGCTGGCAACCACTCGCCCTTCCGGTTCCGCTTGCGGGCTCCTGGGCAACGGGCGGCGGCGCATGCGTCAGGGTGGAGCCGTGTGGGCCGACGAGAGCACTGGCGGCGGGAAGGGGTAGGGTAGCGTGCGTCGCCGCCGGAACGAGGCTGCCGGCTTGTGTTCTGTTGCCAGTGGTTACCGGGCAACTGGCGCGTATGTGGAACTCTTCCCCGCCCCCACAGCTTACGAGCGGCCCTGCAGGCCCTTCCCCTCCCGTTGCGCACATGCGCAGTCTGATTCTCCCAGAAGCCGGCACTGACTTAGCTGCTCGCGATAGCGCGGGAAACTCGTTCGGCGTCTGCATGAGGCTGTTGGGGGGTGACGCCACTGTGGCTGTCTGTGTCTCCACCGCCTCAGCGCCCCGCCCGCCTTCTTGCACCGCTGAAGTCCTCCTCTAGCCCCCCTGGGGAACAGGGCTGTCACTTGAAATACTTAAAACTTCCCATGTGTCCATCATCTTAGCCCCCTGCCCCAGCAAAAAAACAAGCGGGCACCTATGCTCGCTCCCCTCAGGCTTGTCTACACTGGAGATTAATTTTAAGCAATTTTCCTCCAAGGCGGTGGGCCTGCATTTGCATAATGCAATTTCCGTTGCAAATAAATCTGCCTGTTGGTGCCAGCTTGCTGACCTGCTTGGGAAATGGTTTAAATAAGCTTCAGGAGTTAATGGGGGCTGAAATTCATGTGCCCTCTACGCTGACCCAGTTGGCTGAGTGCTACATCCTCATTTCAGTCCTGCCACACAACTGAGCACTGGTCCCTTTGCAGTTGCCTTTGCCTGCAATTATTGCTCGCTTTGGCATCTGAGCACCATCGTTACAGCACTGTGATTGCAACTGTGATGGTGGAGCCCTCTAGAGATTTACAGAGATTTCTTTGTCTTCTGGGTTGAGGCCTCAACCATAGCCCAAACAATAAGCAGATACTTGGTTAAGTAGGTCAGGAGATAATTAAGAGCAGGCCCGTATCTCCTCCAGGCCTGCTCTGGAAAGATGAGTACAAGGTTGGGAGCCAAAGGGCAGGTTTCCATGGCATGGTACAGTGTCACGCAGAGGCTTCTGAACTCGGTCTGAGTTGGAAGCAAAATATACCCATCTACCTCACCCATTGCTAGCTTTACATAGTGCCTCCCCAGTATACCCAGGAAGTTCTGAAATGTAACCCCAGAACTTCTAGTGATTTACTATGTGGCCTTGGACATGTCGTTCAGCTGTGCTTTCCCCATCTGAAAAGCTGACAGTCCATGCACATCTGCTACACAGGAATTTCTCTGTGCTCCAGACCCAAAAACAGTTAGAGCTATAGCATCAACACAGTTAATTCAGTGTGCAATGTGGTGCATTAATTATGACTATAACGTTGAGGGTAGTGAAGCAATGGAACAGGTACAGATTACCCGGGAAGTTGTGGAACATCCATCATCAGAAATTTTTAACTATGGGTTAAATAAAATACTTGCCTAGAAAGGTTTGAAGAAAGATGACCCAGCCTTGAGCACGGCATTGGGCTAGATACCCTTTTAAGGTAACTTCTGGCCCTATATTTCTATTATTATTATTATTAATTTGCAGCAGTAATGATTAGTTATTGATCTAAGCACATGGGCTGTGTCTGATTATTTATGCTGCCCACTGGGCTTTTGATGTATTTTTAAAAACAATGAGGGGCATGGTACATTCTTAATACAAACAACCACAACTTAAAGGAAAAGAAGAGAAAGGCCTTATATTCTTCCCTGACAAATCTGTCTTCCGATGTATTTGGTGTCTGCATTGTGTATTTAGGCCCGTGCTTAACTTTGCTCATTAGCAGCAGCAATTAAAATGTAATTTTTTGCAGAAGTGGAGTATTAACCTGTAAACGCCTTCAGGCAGTAACTGTGTCTTCCTATAACAAATAGTTTGTACAACAATAATAATAAAAGAGACAAGATCATAGATACCTTAGGGACTCTGCCCGAGACCATGAAGGGCCACCTCTGTTCAAAAACTGTTATTATGGAAGATAACTTCCAAACTCTGACAACACCTTGACCTCTATGAATATCACTGATACTGAGGTCAAGGTGAAAGACTGCCAACTCAGAGACATCAGTGCATAAAACCATGACAGCAAAAACAATAATAATAGCTATGGGTAAAATCATACTCCCTGCCAAAATCAGGTGTGCCACAATTTTCTGTAATAATGGCCCCAAATGTAATGCTGTTGTAAGTTGCAAAGTCTTACTATATCACTGTAGAATATTTAATTTTTGAATACTAGTTAAGTAGGAACTAAAAGACACAGTCAAATCTGGATAAACATAGTAAATGGCAGGCTGTATCTTATTTTAGTTCATTGCTATCTATGCAGTGAATCAGCTTTTTGAAGATTTTTACCTAGGACTGATTAGTATGTAAATTTGCTAAGAGCAAGAGGAGGAAAGGGAGACAAGCACCAGGTACCAGATCCTGCTCTGGGAAGGAAAGTGAGCAAGGGCTGCCTGTGTTTTTGGCTTGCTGAGTGTTTGGTGGGCCATGTGTTTGGTTGTTTGCTCTGAGGAGCTGGGAGTGCTGCTAGCTGGGTTATTGTTCCTTGTGTCTGACAAAAGCCCTAACAAGGGGGTGGAGCCAGTCTAGGCCCAGGAGGGTATAAAAGGAGGCTTCCCAAGCAGCCAGGGAGTGAGTGAACTGGGGCAGCAAACAGGGCAGTTCACAAGTCAGTGTGCTATCCCCACCTCTTTCAAGGGAACCCTTTTGGGTAAGCTGTTTAATTAAGATTAACTAATCTACATAATTAGTGTAAGTAGCTAAAACTCAGCAGTTAGACCAATACTTAAGCCCCTTATTTAAATAGGGCCTGGAGTGAGGGGGAGTTGAATGGGTGTTCATTAGTGAGTTTGTCCAGAAACTCTTTCTCACCTTCCTTGGTGAGAGGAAGCAGGTTAGGAGACCTTTTGGGATCCAAGGATCAGTGAACAGGCTAGCTTACAGAAGAGTTTGCTAGGGAAGGTCTGCTTGGAAAGGGGTAGAAAGAGAGAGGCAGAGACCCAGAGAAATGGCTGGAGAATGTTGCAATGCTAGAGTCACTGCTACTGCCATGTCATCTTCTGTTTGTACCTGTGAGATGTCTGTCTAGGCAGGATCGCTTACTATGGGACTTCCACTTGGGTCCTTGTTTGGCATTATGGAGACCACGGCTTGCAGGTTCCTTTCAGTGACAGCCAGATAGGGGAGTACCTGTAATGTGAGCGTTGCCTCCTGGTGGCACCCCTCGGGGAACAAGCAAGAGAGCTACAAAAGGAGGTGGCGAGGCTGTGAAGTATTCTCCTTCCATGAGGACTTCATTAATTTGATGCTGAAGGAGTCCTTCCTCCACAGGCCTAGAGATCTGTCAGGGACAGCATTAGAGATGGAAGAGGATGGTGGACACTGGAAGCCTGTGACCTCTGGCAGTAAGCAGAAGTCTTCATCTCCACCTGCAGCAGTTTGCCTGGAGAACAAATATGGAACCCTAGCAACAGGAGGAGGAGCATGTTTCACTAGTAGAGGAGGGTAGGCCAGGCATCCCTAAGGTTGGGAGGACTGAGGTGACTGCCACTACAGGAAGCAATGGGTGGTAGTGGTTGAGGACTCCCTTCTCCAGGGGGACAGAGGCATCCATCTGCTGGCCTGACCTGTTTTGGGAGGCCTGCTGCTTCCCCAGAACCCATATCCAAGATGTCACAAAGGGATTACTGAGATTCAACCAGCCCTCTAATTACTACCGTGTAGGCACCAATGATACTGCCAAGGATGACCCAGGTTATAGCTCTCTATTGCTGCTGACCAATCATAGGTGGCGTCCCACCAGGTCACCATAATTCCTATGAGGTCATAATCATTTTCGCATAGGAGAAGGGCCAGTTCCTCATGCTTATTTCTCAAGCTCCTGGCATTTGTGTACAGGCAGTTAAGTCTGCCATGAGAAGTCCAGTGTTTCCGTGAGGGGTGAAGCAGGACCTTTCCTTGGGCTGTCTCCCTTGGGCTGCCCAAGTTATTGGTAGTGCAGCTGACACGATGGGCCAGAACTGTTAGTAGATCGCCCATCCCCCAGTGGTCTCAGTTTAAAGCCCTGTCAACAAAGTCAGCCATTCTGGCTGAAAAGAGCTGTTTCCCTTTCCAGGTGAGGTGGAGGCCATCCCTTCCCAACAGTCTGCTCTCTCTGAACTGTGGACCATGGTCAAGGAAGCCAACCCCCTCGCAATGGCACCATCGCTGGAGTCTTCTATTCATCTTGCCAGTGCACCTATCCCTCTGCAGCCCATGTCCTGCAACAGGGAGGATTGAAGAGAAAACTATCTGTGCCCCCACCCTTGAGCCCAGCTCCCAGAGCCCTATAGTCATGCATGACCC